AAAATTTCATACATCATTGATTTGGAGACTTCAATCAGCATAAATTGCATTAGTAACTAATTAAAATCAAGATTTAATTGCATTAGTTTTAGAAGCATTTTACCATTCATAAGTGTGGGATCTCTTAGGAAATTTCTCTAGTTGTCGATCCCAAATTTCAGTGTCTAAACTACCCTCCCATCTTTCATACAGACTGGACAGCATGGATTTTATACGATTAGGTGGTTTTAGCTGGCTTCCTTTGTCAGACAAGATATAAGTCCAGATTGCATTAGTTAGGTCGTAGGTGTTAATGTCGTATGTACGATATTACACCTCTTATAGATTTAGGATCTAAAGGTGAGTGGTACAGGTGTACCACTATACACCTTATTGGTGGGTAAGCTCTCCATCTTTTCAGAAGCTATAAACCCTACACATCTGCGTCACACAGATGACGCCACCTCCTTCCTTCTCTCGTGCATGTTTGAGTGCAGTGTCTTCTCACTTTTTCTCCAGTTTTCTCTTCCTCAGACCGTCCGAATGTTGACTGAACTTCATGTGATTGATTGAGCCAAATTGGGACATTCTTCCCTTTGATTAGGAAAGCCTAGAAACCCCTTTGCACTAAACCCATTAGAGAAGATAATCTAACATCCCTAATCGAGAGTTTTCCTAAGTCAAGACTTAGGATGTAATTAACTACGGGGGCTTGCGCCCGTAGGAAACCGATCCCCACAATCAAATAAACCCTATTCGATGCTGATGTATCGAATAGGAGAAATCTCGTGAACTTTTGAGTTATAGATATTATTATCCATCGAGGTTGGTAGGTGAAAGCCGCTATCCTCCATGTCTAATCGTATCTATAACTCCATCTGCTCTTCCATCGGCCTGCTTGTGTCGATTGTAAAGGTCTACGACCACTTTGTCCTACGGGATAGTGTGATCGTACCCTTTGCATTCGAACCACACGAGCGGAACCCTTTCGGAGACCCACAAAGATTTTTGAGAGTCCATAAATATAGAGAAATCTAGAATGCTCCAACAGACAATCCGTATTAATTATCTTGATTATAAATCATTTCTTTAGAATTTAGATTTGTTAATGACGTTAGAATATAATATTTTTAAGCTAATTTGATTCATCTTGTTGAGATGTTCAATTTGACTACAAGCATACAATATTTGGAGATTGTTTGATCATCATCATATTAATGTCATAGCATTTTCAATTATGTTAATGTTTGATGTAGACTCATTTGACCACTTTCGATATTGTTGGGTTCATTTGTTGAGAAATTCATTTTGACAATAAATTTGGATAGTCTTAAATACAGTTTTGAGAGTTTGCAATTCAAATATGCATCCAGATGCATGCCAGATCAAGGCAATTTTTTAGGTAATATCATGTCAAGATTGGAAGAGCTCATATCCCTTAACCTCATATTTTCTAGAAGACAGCTCCAAAGTATTAGCTTTCTTGCCTTAAACCCTATCTTAGTCTCATATTTTCTAGAAGACAGCTCTTGAATGGCATAACAAAACCAACATGACCAGAAAAGTTAACGACCTATTCACATGTAAATGGGAAGAATCTCATATGTAGCGCGAATCTGGCATATTTTTCTCATGAGCAAGCTCAAGTTTGATAACTTTTTAACATATACAAATTCAGAAGTCAATGGAGAATACTGTTTTTCTCCATTTACGGACTTATCACCAATTGTTGAGTAAATGAAATAAGTTTGAACTATACTTGTTTTTATGCAAATTAAGCACATCTTTCTTCACCAAAATTTAAAAAGGACAAATTTTCACTAACCATAACTCATCTGTTCAGCTCTATTTGAGCACAACCTGGTTGCTTCGAAATGTTGCAACCTATCATCCCAGTTCTTAAATGCTCAACTCCATGCCATCTGCCCGCTTCTGCATAAATGTTTGACATCAGAACATAGTCTGCATCATCTGGTTTTTCCAATTTCCCATTCTCTCTAAATGCACTCTCTGCCAATTCAACATTTCCATGTACCTTACAAGCAGCTATTACTGTTTTCCATAACACTGCGTTAGCCCTGAATGGCATATCTTTGATCAACTGACAGGCTTCTTCAAGCAGACCACGTCTACATAAAATATCAACCATGCAACCATAGTGCTTTATGTCAGGAATTATGTCATATTTCTTAGTCATTTTATGGAACAAAACTCTCCCTTCTTCTACCAATCCCTTGTGGCTACAAGCAAGCAAAGACCCAAGAAACGTTATCCGGTTGGGCTTAACGGCAGCCTCCTCAAGAGAAGAAAACAAATCCAAAACCTCTTCGGAGCGACCGTGAATGGCCAAAGCTACAATCATTGAATTCCAGCAAGTTATATGTTTCACATCCATTCTGTCAAACACCTCCTGAGCAAGTTTCAAGTTACCGCATTTGGCATACATGTCGAGCAAAGCATTTCCCACAAAACCTTCAATCTCAATTTCCTTTTCCATCAAATAAACGTGTATCTCCCTTCCCATTTCGAATGCACCTATCTCTGCACAAGCCCCAAGTACAGAAACAATCGTCAACTGAGTTGGTACTACCTCGGCTGCCACCATACTCCTAAAAACTTCCAGTGCACTATTATAATTCTTCACACGTACAAAACCTGCAATCAATGAGTTCCACGATACCGCATCTCTCACTGTCATTTCCTCAAAAACGCTTCTTGCTGCCTCAACATTCCCCAACCTAACATGCCTGGCTATAATACTATTCCACAAAGACACATTTTTCTCAGGCATTTGCTTGAGAAGCTGGTTAGCTGAATCCGATTCTCCAATCCGGTCATAAGCCACAAACATGGTATTCCACGAGATAGCATCCTTAAGAGGCATTTTATCGAACACCAATCGGGCATATTCAATCCACCCACACCGGGAATACATATAAATCAAAGCATTCTGCACAAAGCCGTCAGAGTCGAGGCCAAGATGAAGCGCTCTGCAATGGACTTCTGAGCCCTTTAGTGCAAAAGTTAGGGCAGGTCCATCAGCGAGCACTGCAACAGCGCGGCCAAGGGCCTTAAGGACGAAGGGGAAGGTGAAATTGTCAATGGGAACGCTTCCGGAGCGGCACATCGTGTTGTATATGAGGAGAGTTTCAGTTGGGAAAATGGAGGCGGAGTAGGCCCGGAGCATTACGTTGTGGGCGAAGGTGGATTCGAGTAGATAGGAAAAAGAATTGAAGATGGATCGGGCATAAGCGAGACTGCCCCAAGGGGAGAAGGAGGAAAGGGAAAGGAGCTTGAAGAGGAGAGAAGGCAGTCGAGCTGCGACGTTGGATTTGGCGAGGAATGCTTGGCTTTGCTTGAGCTCGCGCATAGACGAGGCATTCCGGAGGAGGAAGGCGACGCGCTCCTCGGAAGAGTGCATGACGAGCGTAATGAGCTGAAAGGGGTGCTAGGATATAAACAATTAATGATAGTATAATTTAACTAAAAAACGATGGTCTTGCTAGTCTAAGAGTGTGCTAGTGTTGATGTATGCTGGCGTAGCCAGAAAATGTATTTAAGGGGGTCTAAATTATTATTTTTTATTTTTCTTCAAATTTTTACATCTGGACTTGGGATCAAAATAGTCAATTTTAAAAATGATAAAACTTAAATAGTGAATTAATTTATTTTTTTTCTTCACAAAATGAATTCCAATCATCAAATCATTTGAATATTGCTAGAATGAATTCAATATATTAACAAAATACGTAATATTAAAAATCTCATTGCACAAAAACAAATCATAAAATCTCTTTAAGATCGAATCAATACATGATTAAGCTAATATAAACCTAGAAAAAAAAATATAAATGAATAGGAAATTAAATTGAGAGTGATTTAAATGGACGGTCGATCTTAAATTTCTTGATCGTGGATCGTTTATTGGTCATTTAAATGTCATAGCGATATCAGAATTCAACGATCTTGGGCTCGTTGGATTCATCTCGTCTAGCCGCTCAATTCGACTATAAGCATGTCATATTTGGAAACCTTTTGATAATCCAAATTATGGTTTAAACCTGCTAAATATGCTTTGAGTCTTTGATTTGGAGTCATTTGGGTTCGGATTGAGTCGAATTTGGTGTCGTTGTGTTCGCATTTTCGAGACGTTCAACTCGATTGTAAGTTAGCTGAAATCGGAGTTCATATGATCTCCGATTTAATTTTTCCCTTTGGCTGTATGACTTTGTTGCTGAAGGCTGTTTATGTTGGAGTCAACAACTCCACATCATATATATGGGCCTTGTTAATAAATGACGAGATATTAGTATTAGTGTTAATGCTATATATAATTTTGTTTATAATTAAGGCTTGATTTCGGTCGTCTTTCTTGTTGAAACTTGCAAAACAGATAACAAATTAAGGAAATGCAGAGGCGAAGGAAAACAGAATCAAAGCTTCAAAGTGTTTTATTAGAATGGAGATCACGTTACATAAGCTGTGTTTATATATTTAAGAATAATCTAATATTAAAGTTCTTATAAAGCCCTCGGGTAGTTATGCATTTATGCTCCAGGTGTAGTTATTGGTGGAGAGGTCGTGCAGCAGTTGTTACAGGTGTAGTGTTTGACAGAGTCGTCTGGAATGATTTGCTGTAGTGGGAATTGTCTGAGCTGTTTGTGTTAACATTTCTTAGGGCTTTTTAAAGCAATTTTTTAGTATAAAAATATTTTAAACTCAAAATTTTTGTATTAAAAAGTTATTTTATAAAACAGTAAGGAAAATATCTCCAACGATTCTTAAGCCGATTCTTAAGCGCTTAGAAACTAATATCAATAATATGCATCAATTTTTTTAGTGGTTGAAAGAATTGATGTTGGTGTTGATAGGGTAAATCAACTTTATTAACCATATAACATGCATCATAGTTGGTGTAAGAGACATATATTGACAGCCTTATTAGCGATGACAAGTGTCTATATATAATATGCTGGTGATGTGCATGTATATCAAATTATTGATGTCGATATGCAAGTTAACTTTTGCAAGAATGGACGTCAATATTATAGGCCATGATGTGTTGTGACCTTGTTGACATCAATGAGATCAACATAAGTTTTAACAGCATGCAACAAATTTGTTGGCAATGACATGTGTTAATGATTTTTGGCGAAGGATAATGACAGATGCGAAACAATAGTTTAGTGATGATAAACATGTAATGATTTTTAGTAGGGGTGTCAAAACATAATCCGATTCGAAATCTGAACCGACTCAAAACCCGATCCGGATCTGGCCCAAAAACTTCAGGGTTCAGATCAACCAGCTTGCCATATGGGTCGAGTACGGGTTTGAGATTCAAACCCATTTTTAAAATTGGGTCAAATTCGAGTTGACCCGAAAACCCGAAGGTGATCCGAATATACTAGAATCTGCACTAGCGAGTCGTGACCATCTGCAATCCGTAGATGGCCACACTCGCAACTGTGTAGGGTTTGCACACCCTCCTGCCTCCCGCATTTGCGTCTGCACCTAGACTCACATAGGCACCACGCTTGTGCCTACGCTCTTGTTAGCACCCGAACCCGCACCAGCTCTTGTGACAGGACTCGCCCAGGGACCCCATCCTCCCACACTTGCGTCTGCACCTAGACTCGCGTAGGCATCTTGTTTGTGTACGCTCTTGTTCAAATCCGGACCTGCGCCAGTGTATTCCAAGTTAGCGGGTCGAGTTGAGTCAAATCAGTAACCCGGTGGATTTGGTCTGGGTTAGAAATTTTGATCTGTTAGCAAAATCGGGTCGGGTTCGAGTCAGTTTAATTTGACTAGTGTCAATTCCAAGTTCGACATGAACCTGACCTGAATACCCATTTTGATACCCCAAAATTTTAATTAACATCAGGTCATTAAAAGTCGTACAAGTGGCTATTGTGCAGCGGTTCAGCCTACCCAACCTTTATGATTTAGAGCTTCAATAGGGATTATATGAGTTTAATTTCCTTTTAAAATAAGTTTTTATTTTAAATTATGTCACTTTTTATTTTTGTATATATTACCAACAAACTCAAAATTATTTTAATTAGATTCAAAATTATTTCAGAGCGGGTCATATAAAACTTTTGACTGGCTCGAAAAAGATTTTGAGCTGTACATTTAGCTTGAAACTCGACTCAAATACACTCGAGTTGGGTTTGATAATCAGATCACATCCATCAAAATCCGTACGGCCAATTCAAGTCGAAGCCCGCGTTGCTGCACAAAAGAAGCAAAACATTACATTCCAGTCGAAGCTCTATTAGAGTGGCCATGTTGGTGAACTAGCATCTAGAAGTGAAAGGCAGCTTTGAGTTTCTCCAATGCCACTCTGCTGCAGCCTCAACATCAAAGCGGCTTTTCAAGGGCAAATTATTGGGTCAGGTGACCGAACGCAGAGATAGGTCCGGATATTAATAAAATATTATTTTAAAATTAGCGCAACTAAAGCGCAACTAAAGCGCAGGTAAAGCGCAACTAAAGCGCAACTAAAGCGCAAGTCCAAAAAGCGCAACTAAAGCGCAAGTCAAAAAGCGCAACTAAAGCGCAAGGTGACGCGGCAAATTTTTATTGGATGTTCGAACTTATTTTTTGGCTCCGGTCACCTGACCCAATAATTTTCCCTTTTCAAGGGAGCATATGCCCTTAACATCCTCCCTAGCAAGCACAGCAACCCCTTAGTGCATCTCTAACGGAGAACTCCATTTTTCACGGCAAAAAACAACAAAACTCCAAAATGCCGTGGTGCTGCTCCAATCGAACGCCATTTTATGTGCTTTTGCGAAGGTAATGATCCTTCTCCTTTCGCGCGTTTTTTCGGTTGAGAGAGCAAAATAGCGTAGTTCTCCCGCAAGTATATGGCGGTAAATTTGGCGTTCGGCTGGAGCCATCGAACGATGCCATTCGCTCGTTTCGTGTTCGGTTGGAGATGCTCTTACTAGAGCTAATCAGGCCCTTCCTTCGCAAGATCACCACTGAAATTAAGTCTACACATACCGATGCCGACAGGAGAGGGTCGTGCTGAGCAAAAAGAGCGCAGGAGAACAACAAGCCCTTATAAACTAGTTCACATTAAGAAGCCTGCGAATCACGAAGCCATGGGCCTTGTGGGCTTCTTTACAGACATAACCAGCTTACTCAACATCGGCCATCTATGCATTTTCTCGTCGGCGCAATGGCAAGCCTTCTGCATGCTTGCAAGGATGCTTTGTTTTGGCCCCAAAACAAATTCACATTCAAAATTCTATTCTTTTTTACTTTATGAATCAACAAAGAGTAAAATGTGCGTGAAAGCTACTGTCATCTTTAATACAAGTCATGAGCAGAAAAAAAAAAAAAGAGTTTTAGTGTAGATTTATTTAGGGTGTATAAGAAATATTGATTTTACAGCCTTGATCAGCAAACCTTAAGCATCAAATTAAAGTTCCATATCATGTAAAGATATATGATGTTGGCTAACAATCTTTAGGATGATACTCTTCTTTTCTATCTAAAGTAGCATACAAGCATATGTGTTGATGAAGCATTGCTATTTTTAATATTATGATTTTTTTTAATGATATAAGCATTAAATCGTAATATGTGATTTGCATTTGTGACTCAAATAAATAACTTTCTCAGCTAATTGATATGCCATAGATATTTTCTTGAATATTTTGATCTTTCTATCAGGGGTAGATTTAGCCTTAATTTTCAGGGGACAAACTTATAAGTAAAACTATAGATTTTTTTTCCATAAATATCCTTACAACCATAATTTGTTCCGAAAGTGTTGCCTCTCGACCCCTATTTGTTCATCATTGTCCGCTTCATAGATAGTCGAGGGTCCAAGAGAGTAGCACCCCTTGGAAGGGTTCGACCTGACAAGGATTATCTTTACTATTTCTCTTTGTATTTGGCTCATCGTTCACTAGAAATAACATCTCTACACATTGTGTTTAATTATGCTGGGGCAATTGCCTAAAGAGCATAATATTTTAAAACTTTTAGAGGGGCAATTGCCTAAAAATTCTTGTAATAGAGACTTAAAATACATGGATGGGGGCAAATTACATACATAATTATATAATAAAGAATTTTTTTTATTTTTTTAGGTGGATCCACCCATGCTTCCTACAAAAAAAAAAAAAGATAAATAATCATATCTTTTTCAACTGTAATGATGAGAGGATTCCTATACCTCCTATTATACTGTGGATTTATCAATTAGCTAGGCAAAGCCCCCTAATTTTTTTCCTTTCCAAAAATTTCACATAAAAAACTTTCAATCTCTTATAAGTTTTATCTTTACGTGTTGAATTTTTTATCTCTTTAGACTTCTATGTATTAACAATATCAGATTCAATTAAGATCTTAGTTTACTTGAATTCTTTTACCATTAAATATTGATAATGTTGGGTTGAAGATTTAGAGCCTCGAGATACATGAACAAATAATGACTAGAGGTATAAAATAAATAAATAAAAGAGATAATGACTAGAGTTGTGTTGTTGTCC